CACCAGAAAGTTGTGCTTCTTTGACTATATCAGTGTGTCTTAAGTAGTACAACTCCCCTAGGGTAAAGACAATTATACCAGTGTAAAAGTGCATATCCAAATATAGCTGAGTCCCGAATGAGAAGGTACCTTTGTACCAGTAATAATTAGGTCCACAGCAAGGGACAGATTTATTACCTTACCTTTAGAAACCTGAGGTGACAAAACTGGGAATATAGCCATTTCATAATTCATGTGTATTCCCAGGAGACAGATAAAACCTTCATAGGGAGAACTGGCCCACTTGAGGACTTATTTACTAGCCAGTGGTGCCTGTCTCTCTTCACTTTTCAGAAAACTTCACTTAACTACAGGCATTTATCTAAAGTTCCTAAATAAGGTAAAAGGAATTTGATCACAGGATTTCTTCAAATGTGTAGGGAAATTAAACTGTTAGGAACAGTGTAGGATGATTTGAATGTATCACTGCACAAATTTTAGCAAATTCCAACCCTGTTTTGCCATTTGGGGAAGTTCAGTGAAATTTTTTTGAGTAATTATAACAGGTGTTTTGAACTTGTGAAATAGATGAAGCAGAATTTTCTTTACCTTGAGTAGCAATCACTCACACAAGATTTTTATTCTCGAGATGATTAGGAGACTTACAAAAATTATCCTGCCACAAAGGTGTACTGCTTCTGTGCACTAAAAGTAGGTTTTAAAGTTCTGGAGGGATGGTTGTAGGCATAGCTCTCTCAGGAGTGCTTGAAGGGAACTTTCCTGCTTCTTTGCCTGCAATGGCCAGTTACCAGGTTTTGACATTGGAGAAGTTGACTGGAGCACAGGGCTCCACCTCCAGCCCACATCCGTCATGCACAATAGCAGTGACAAGCTCTGCTCTATTTCTTCCTTGTTTACCTCTTATATCCAGGAAGTGATATGTGATCTGGATGAAGAAATGTTCTCTTGTTGTTTCTGAGCTTCCATTTTTCTCACTTAGTATAGTCCTGGACATCCAATATCCACCTGAGCTCTGTGAGAACAAAATGTCCATTGTTCATGAAGAAGTTTCTTCTAACTCTTCCAGTCTTAGTGATTCTACTCTATCAAGAAAAAAAATCCCTTATATTTTTAAAAGGAAGCAGGTTTATTTTAAAATAAGAATTGTTTTCCACCGAGAGGAAGATCATAATACTGCTTGTGATATTGCTCTGCATAAGAAAAGCTGGTGAGATCTGCCCATTGAATCATGAACTAGCAAACCTCAGAATGGTACTGTTGGTTGCATACTTCCAAAATAGCTGATAATGTCTAAAGAAAAGCCTCACTTTTTTTTTTTTTTCCCTGAAATCCTTATTGTGTTCAAACAGTGGAGGTGAAAAAGACAGGATTCAGATATATGATTTAGTTTGATATTCTGAGAAGAATGTAGTTTAAAAAAATGCTGCTCTTTCTTTAAGATTTGGTTCTGTAAACCTCTTCCATGTTGAGTAATAATTTATTCTGGAAATGACACCATTAAATTCACTGTCAGGAACAGTGGTAGATGCTGACCTTTAAATTTCTTCAGTCCAAGATGGATTATTTAGTTGTGTTTATATCAGCAGGGCACAAAAGGAGTATTTTTCTGCAAATACCTACTAGCTACTTTTCGCCCTAAAAAAGCAATCATGGAAACACTGTCCAGATTTAATTCAAAGCACATTTCCAAATGCTATCAATCCATACTGCTGTGGCTTTTTAAATCCCAACACAAAGCATGTCTAGGAGAATATCCATGCATTCAGACACTATGAATTGAGCCATTATCAAGTGAAGAATACAAAACAAATTAGCTCAGCTCTCAACTTATGCTGTCTGGTTTTGTTTTTTTCAAAGTTTCAAGTTCACAAAGATAGGACAACTTCAATTTTTTTTTTTTTTTTTTTTTTTTCCAATTTTTTTTTTCCAATTTTTTTTCAACTGTCCTGAAAGAATATAGGAGAAAAACAGTCTTATTGCTTACCATTGTGCTATCTGCCTTCTAAGGATATTGTACCACTACCTGCAAAAGAGCTCCAAAGATTGCAGGACAGACATTAATAGCTTATCTAATGTAACTTTTGTCCAGAAATTTTACAGAACTGTAATAAATTATTCATGTGCTATAATAAAAATAATTACTAGATTATACATGGCTGTACTTGAAAATAAATATTGTAAAAGTCTATCAAAGCATTCTGTAAAGCTGGTGGTCTGTACAAGTATTATTAAAGGAAAATGGAAAAGATCCCCAAACACTTCCCAAATCAGTGTTATTACAGTTGCAGCTCAGTCTCAAGCAACCACAGGAGTCAAGACATCCAACTGCTAATGATGTGTATGCTGCAGAAACAAATATTCCACATATCCTTTGAAAACAATAGGTTGAATGAAAGCATCTTGCAAGCCAACTCTGCCGTATGTGTTTCTGTTTGATGTTCAGCTTCCTTGCAGTTGTGGCTAAACGTTACTTCCTTTGCAGATTAATTTGTGATGAGATCAGACACCTTTTAACAATATTATTCTTGTTCACTTTCTCCTATCACTTTAAAGATTTATTCCATGGCTGGTGATTGAGCATAGCTGCACAGCACTTTTGTAAGATCAGGTGCATGAGAGAGAAGCCGCTATTCCATAGAGACATGCAAAATGATTCAGTAGCTGTTGCCCTAGCAGACATGCTATGTAGTGCTGTCACCCAGACTTGATTCAGCTGAGTATTTCTGCTACAGTTTTTGGTTTACCTTTTATTAGTGGTTCATGTATCTCTAGTGATTTGGGACTACATTCCTACTTTTCATTAAAATTCCTCACTCGCTTTGGTTGTTTGGTTCTAGCTGATCCTGTCAGATTTCCAGGGAGTTGTGTATCCTTGTACATGTGTTTTCTAACAACAGGTGCATTGGACAGAAGGCCACAGTTTCACAGCTCACAGGCATGTCCAAAATAATAGAGTAGATTGTGAACTGTGAAGAGGCATATAGTGGTGGCAGCATATGGTCATGATTCAGTCATCTGAGGATTCTCTTAGTAGTCTGCTTTAATGAACCAATATTTGTTTTGTATTCCTTGCACTTGGATGAATTCCTGCTTTCTCTTCTCTTGCACATGTATGTGGGTTGGTGCATAGCACCACAGTGACCATGCCAGCCATCGTTTGTGGATGGGTTTTCTCAAAACTGAGAGCTGGCCATGTCAGCTGATGAAATTGGGTACTTTCCTACTGCAGGCGTATCAGTAACATAGGTACTGTTAGGATATCAGTTTTGTAAAGGATATTCATTTCATTCATGAAAGAATTATTTGAACAGAGAAAGCATGTGTATTTGATTAGAGACAGCCAATTTTCTCAGCCCAAATAATAGAAATTGTTATTTCTACTATAGCAGCACAATAGTAGAAATGGAAAGAAAACAAGTGGTAGTTAAGGCACTGATTTGGCACAGGAGAACATGGCAAGTCAGTGTTTCCAATCAGTCTCACTGCCTTGGTGATCCCTCTAAAAAATCAGCTATCCACTCATCTGAGGTAGAAATGTGCCTTTTGTCAGAAAAGCAAGCCTTTTTTCTGGTTGAGCTCAGAACAAGAAAATACTGCAGAATCATAAATATAGTAGGTTTAGCATTATTCTCTCAGGTTAGTATTATTACTAGCTGTAATCTCTAGTGGAGAGTAGTGGAATTGAGCTGCTTTCAGTTTGTTTTACTCATCTTACAGCAAAGCATTTGCATAGACAATTTGTCTGAGAGTTTCTGTCAACTTGTTTTCAAGAAGCCACCTCCCTAGATAAACAATAAACATGAATTTTTGCATTGTGCCATATCCTCTGTCTAATAAAAGATGTACCTGCATTTTATCTAGATTATCTTTCAGGACACTTGAAAAAAATTAGGATACCCTTTCTATGATTTTCTTGTCAAAGCTATGATATGTAGCAGAGTAGCAGATTGCTCAGAAAATACAGTTCAGAATTTTGTTCTCCTGGTCCCTTCTGATCAAGAGACACTATATCCCCTCTCAAATTCTATTATGGTGCCTACAGTTATCCATGGAAAGGAGCTGGGTGAAGGATTTACTTCATTAAAATGCAATGCAATGCAGTTACTCTCAAGGCCGATGATTGCAATTGTAAATAGAGTTTTATTTTGAAGGATGCTGGTTGATTTTTGCTCCATTCAGATGGGAATTTTTGTTCTTGGCAGCGGAAGTAGGAGAAGGAGGCAAATATGTATTGAACATGAAAATGGAAGAGAGTCAAAGACTGAAACGGAGAGGCAAGGATGCATATAACAGCTTTTGACTAAGGCAGATAAACTGTGTTACAACTTAGCCATATTATTAAGAAATCACGGTTTCCTCATCACTTTCTTCCTTTTATGTTCTTCTCGAAAGATTGTCAACTGATGTTATAGAAATGCTTTGTCACAACAGTTTGAATAAAAGCCAGGGCAAGCCGTTACCTTGTCTCTGTATGTGGCAAATGTGTGTCATTTCGAGCACATGAAACCAAAAAAATCTCTGGCCTTTAAAGGACTCCTGTCTTACTTGCATTGATCCATCCTTCAAATCTCATCTCCTGTGCCCGATATCCTGGTGTTTGACAAGGCTGATTTTTCTGATGATACATTCTGCTCCCATTTTAAAATTTATTCTTTAGCTCCACCTCCTGGCTCTTGGTCTGTGAAAAGGAGGATCCTTGGGAATCACAGAGCCTCAAGAAGGAATCAGAAATATTAATCCTAGTTTACAAATATTAATGTAGAGGTATATGTGGGGACATTTTAGATGAGGCAAAACAGACTTTGCTGAACCCACTCATACTGGCTTTCAACAGAGACAATTTTGGTGGAGGGTGGACAATGGAATATGTGGCTCGTAGTTTCTACTTTTTCTTGGGCTTTCAGTTTCTCAGTTGTGGCAGTTTTGAGACATGACAGACATCACAGAGCAGTCTCTTTATTACTGTTTTCCCCCTGCTACTTCCTCAAACTCATGGGGGTGGGGAGGTACAGCAGAAATCGTCTGACACTGAAACATTAAAAAAAGATCTCTGAGGCCTTGCAAAGGAGTCTTGTTTCATGCAGGGAGAATTGCTTTGACTTTGTGTTCATCCTGTTAAATCAGGAACTGCCCAAGAAGTAGAGGAATAGATCTTAGTCATCTGGATTTAAGAAGAACAATGTCTCTTCCCCGACAGCTGCGAGAAAAGAGGTAATGTGTCTCTCCCTGCTCCTGCCTCCCCACAAGCCTCATGTAACTCCTGTGATCTGTTTGGTTAATTTGGATGCAAGCATCTTTGGTGATTCTAAAAGGCTTCTTGTTATCAGAACAGTGTGTAACTTCCACACTATTAAGCTGCTTAGGGTTGAGCAGACCATTTCTTATGCTGGAGTGGACTTTCTTCTTTTTGTGGGGGATATTCACGACCTAGGACATAGTGGGTCATTGTCCTCTTTATAGCTGCAAAACAAGTTTCCCTTTTACTGGAGTTTATGATATGACTAATTATATCTCTTGGTCTCCATAACCACATCCCTCTTCACAGTAAGGGGTAGTATTTACAGTATTGTGGGTGATGCTGATTCATGGCATTTTCCTTGTACAGCAAACTATTGCAAGATGTTGCATCATTGCTTCAAATGGGCTACGCCTTGTGGAAGTCCCTGCTTGGGATATTCTCCTAGTAGAATAAACTGAGACAACTACCAATTTTTTTTCCTATATTTTCAGAATATTTAACATTTTGTCAGCTTGCATTTCTTAGATGATCCTTTTAAAAGTCTCTCTTTATTTCATTTGCTATTTTCCCCTCCTCATTCTAAATGCTTTTTACTCAGGTATTAATATAAATACCCCTCTGACAACACTGAGTTGTATGACTGAAGCAAAGGTGAATTTGTCTGCTGCTTGTCAAAGCTGTTGCACCAAGGACAAGGTCATAGAGGAAAAAGCACCTGCCAATCTGTGCTTTTTTTGTAGTGTGGGCAGTGTAGACCAGTAACATGACTGTGTGGTCATATGGCTGGCTGCTCGTTAGGTGTTCCTGCAGGGATCCTTCCTTCTCACTTCAAATCCAATTCTTTCTAGGATCTGCAAAGCTTATTCTAACCTTGCCTACTATCATGTGTTCCTTCACACACTTTTGACAATTTCAAACAAGTATCTTTGCGCTTCCTTCCGGTTATCTGCTGTGATTGGGAGATAAATGCCAGGTTCGATCCCCGTGTGGGCCATTCATTAAGAGTGGTATTTGATGATCTCTGTGGATCCCTTCCAACTCCAAATATTCTGTGATTCTGTGATGACCCTTATCTGCTGTGACTGGGAGGTCTCTCTCCAAATATTTGACAGCCTAGTCTTATTTTTCCAAGCCTCTTTAAGAGTTTGCTTTATTGTGATGTTTACAAGAAAACTTGACAACATTTTGACAGCTGGTGTAGGCACCACTAGTTTTTGTTACAGAACAATACTATCCTTTTGCTTCTTTGTTCTTTTTATGTTTGTGCTTATCCTGTTGTTTCTTTTCTTATATGTATATGGTACATTTTACACATCTTGCACAGAGTATAAAGTTTTTAGGATTTAACTTTGTGCTGTCAGTTTCTACAGCACATTGCATAACAAACTCTTTTCTCAGAACTGATTCCTATTCCCTACAGTAATACAGTAATAATAGCAGCATAAATCATGATATATAATGATCTCCTTAGAATAGGATCCACTGATGCAGGGCTCTTTTTGTAAATCTCCTAGATTAAAGAAGGATTATGAATGTATCCACAGCTGATCACATTTCTCAGGAAAAGCTTAGCAGTTCAAGTGTTTGTTTTGTAGTCCTGTTCCTTGAGCAAGCCTAGGAATGAGAGGGGTATTTTTCAGGCATAATGAATCTTCTCAATGACCACTGACTTGTGCTGAACTTATTGTATCTTGACATCTCAAGATCAGACCTCCAGAGGAAGAGAATGACACCATGAGTTTCTAATGTCTTGGTTTTGGTACTAGAAAATGTGATATTGCCTATCTTTGCTCTGTGTGGCATAGGACACCTCAAAGGCTATTACCAATATGAGTAACCTAAATCTTCTGTTCTTGCTTCACAGTGATTTTGACCAGCTTCCAGATGATGTACCTGTTTCAGCTAATATTGCAGATATTGAAGAGAAGAAAGGCTTTACTAATTACTATGTAAGAAGGGAGATTTATCCTGCCTCTATATGCCTTCACCTGTGACTTCTTTGACAGTGGGAAGCAAAATGCAGCTAATCTTGTGTACTTGCTTTTTGGCATGAGTAGTTCCATGTGGAAGACTTCTCAGTGCTTTATTTTTCTTGAATGAAGCATAGTTATCCCAGATTCAGTCTAAAGATTTATTTTCTGAATGAAATGTGGGAGATATCCTCTAACATGAGAATTTTTCCTAATATCTGCTTTGTTTCCTGTTGGAGTGCTGTACCATTGGTGAAGATAGTGGGAAAGTAATTTAGAGGCTAGAAAGGCAGAGTCCTGCTTATTATTCTGTGGTACTGGCAAGTTAGGATGCTCCCATCTTCACAGGAGGTAGCATATTAAGACATGAAAGAGCACGCAGGAAGAGAGTAGTAGGGAAAGGCACTAAGATTTTCTGAAGGTTTGAATATGCCCATCTCAGTCTGACTTCTCCTGGTGACATTGCTCATAAAACCCTTCCTACTGCAGTATTCAGGTTTTTCTCTGGAATAGAGATGTTTGGTTGCTCTGTCTTTATGTTTTCTGAAGGTTCTGGCTGCAATGTGACTCAGAGGTCAGTGTGTGGAAATTTTGGGTTCCTTTAGAGCGAAGCAATTTTGTCAAAAGAGAAATATAATAGTGGTTGAAGGAGGTCAGACAACAATTTCTGCAATTGTGTACATTAAAGTCAAAAGAGAAGTATGCCTCAGTTCTGAAAATCGATTGATTTAGATGTCTGTCTGTCTCTAGATTTAGATGTCCAAGGCATCTTATTGTAAAATATTTGTATTTGTCTCCCTAGTGTACTTTGCTGGTCACTGAGGAAAAGTGTGCAATCATAAAGTTAAATCTAGTAATTTCATGTATCATTTTAAGATTATAGAATATAGAGCAGCCACAGGGACATGCTTCATATGCAAGCTAGACCCACAAAAATACCACACTGGTGCTACCTTGTTATATCCTAGCTCCTGAATTTGCAGATGCTTAATTGAAGGCTTGCTTTCCTCTCCGCTCCTAAGAGAATATTTCCACTAATGGAGCACTGATCTTATGTTCTTATTTTATTCCTCACATTCATTTGGTGAGTATTTACAAGTATGAACATCAGCCTGAATCCCTCTTTTCTGTTTCAGATGTTTGTCATTGAAGTAAAGCTTAAAGGTTGTGGCAGATACCTGATTTTCCGGCGCTATCGTGAGTTCTATGCCCTGCACACCAAACTAGAGGAGAGATATGGGCCAGAGAGCAATAACAGCCCATTTACCTGCACACTCCCTGTACTGCCAGGTAAGCTGTCAGTACCAAACCTTTGCACAATTAGCAGCCCTCTCAGCTCCAGGCTGTCCTGAAGAGGAATGCAATGAGAGAAGTAGTTGTGACAAGGAACTAATTCCTGGCTGTGGATGCCAGAGAAGTCATGCTCCATTGATAGCCCCTTCACTTGAAGTAAAGTCCATTTAGAAACCTAAAATCCTTCAGAAAATATGTATTTTTTTTTTAGCTTTTGCTTTCTCCTGATTGCTTCATTTCTCTGACAGCGTCTTTTTTCCTTTCCTTTTTTTTTTTTTTTTACCCTTCAATAAGTGTTACATGTTTTATATTTTCCAGGAAAAGTTTTTGTTGGTGCCAAAAAGGAAATTGCTGAGAACAGGATTCCTATCCTAAATGTCTACATGAAGGTAAAACATAATTTTAAAGTAAAGAATGCAGTCATCACTGCAGATACTTAGCCATTGAAATCAGTTAAGGCAGACAGTACTGTTGGGGTTCTAAGTATCTGCTTCTCTCTGTTCTGCTTTCCTGACGACACAGTGCCCACCCTGTGGTACAACCTGAAGTCCTCTTCCCCAGATTGTTCAGACTGCTGTAGGGTCTGCTGGAGTATGCAGTTCACAAAGGGTCACTGTCCTCATATACAGATAGACATCCTTACCAAAACCCCCCAAGATGTATGAAGAAATGGTGAATCTCCAGGTGTTGCATGAATACAGAGTTGGCGTGTCCATCCAAGGGATTAGGAGAATGGTGTATGGGTTGTGCTTTACTCCATGCACCATCAAGTGCCACACAGCCTCTTGCTCACTCCCTGCTTCCCTAATGGAATGGGGAGGACAATCAGGAAATGGTAAAACCCATGGGTTAAGAACAGTTTAATAATTGAAATAAAGTAAAATAAAATACTAATAAATAATTTTAATTAGAAGGGAGGTAACCAAAGAGACAGAGAGAAATAAAACTAAAGAAAACAAACAAGTAATGCACAATACAATTGCTCACCACCTGCTGACTGATGCCCAGCTGGTCCACTGAGCAGTGCTCAGTGGCTCCTGGGCAGCTCCCTCCAGTTACATACTGGGCATGATGTCCTATGGTATGGAATATCCCTTTGGCTAGTTTGGACCAGCTGTTCTGGCCATGCTCCTTCTTGACTTCTTGTGCAGATCCTCACTGGCAGGATTTGGGAAACAGAAAATCTTGGCTTAGACTAAGTAAGCTACTAGCTAGAAACAACTAAAACATTTGTGTGTTATCGACATTATTATCATGCTGAATCCAACACACAGCACTGTACTAGCTACTAAGAAGAAAACTGACTCTCTCACAGCCAGAATCAGGACAGGTGGGCTGCTGAGAGTACCTGAATTACAGTGAAGATGCAGCATACATCAAGGAGAGATATTCTTTGTGCGCAGGTTAACTGAAGGCGTTAACTTCAAATCAGTAAAAGTCTGAAGCATTGGCCAAGACTTCTACTACTTAAGACTGCCTTCTTTGCACAGTCATTCATGTTCTGAAAAGAATAACAAAAAGCTATTTACTCCTGCAGTAAATCAGGTACAAAATGTGAAGCAATACATTGGCCAACTCCAGGAGTAAAGAGGAGAGACTGTCAGCTGTTCAGCTGTGTCCTGCTGAGTGAGAAAGGAGAGGAGGGAGATTTCTGGCAGTAATGAATAACCTTCATGATCCCGTAGGTCAGAGAGGCATATTTGTTACATGTAAATAAATAGAGAATTGGTCTCTCCCACTGTTACACTCTGCTTCCTGCCTGCTCTTGGCACAGAACCTGCTCTGCCTCCCTGCTTGGGTGTTGATGGATGAGGACGTTCGGCTGTTCTTCTACCACTCAACCTTTGATGGTGAGCAGGTGCCTCACAGACTGAGACGGCTTCGCCCACGGACACGCCGAGTGTAAGTGATTGACGTGTTTTTTTCAGCATTGCTTGATGTAAGAGATGCTGTCCAGCTATGGGGGTAGAGAGAGTTGAGGATCACAACTGTGTTTTCCAAGTGAATCCATGAATCCTTAATATAAGGGTCTTTGTGGTGGAGTGAACACAGAGTAGTTTTTGTTTTCAGTAATCTCCAATTTTTTAAGTGGATGTGGTATTTGCATAAAGGAAAATTCCAAAATGAGAGTATACCTTGCTTTCTTTTTAAAAGAAAAAAACCTATCCAGCTTTGTCTGCCCATATTTCTTTAATGGTAGTTTCTATTATAATGTGCAGAATATACAGGCCAAGCTTAAGGACATAGACTTGCAATACTGAAGTCAATGTGAGTTTTGGCACTGAATTCAGTGCGATCTGGTTCAGACACTAAATGAAACTGAATACTTAATTTGTTCCCATCCTTTGTCTAAACAGGGGCCTGTCCTACATAGCAGCATTGACACCCCTTTGGAGATCTGCTAAGTAGATGTCATACTTCATTACCCTTCAGATAAATTAATTCTCCTTTCGGCATTCCAAACATGGACTCGCTTCCTTTTCACCTACCTCAAACAGTGCAAAAACTGCATGTGTGTATGATGGCAGAGTTTGAACTAAATGCCATAAATGCTAGAAACAATGATGCCCAGAAGGCAGAGTAGGGGGACTGAGCAGTGCTGTGGAAGAGAAGTCCAGAATACTGACTGTATTGAAAATTCCATCTGTTCTCAGCAGCAGACACCATCAGATTGCTGCAGCTCTGCACTGAAACTGAGAGAACTAGGACAGTGTTGCTGCATTCATATTTATTTACTTGAGTACTGCACACAGATTCTCACACAGTTTCTCCAGTGATCTATGGCATACATGCCCCTTAAATAGCAAAAACACAGACACTGCACTACTGATTGTGTAGCATTTTTAATGACTTAGAAGGAGGTTTACCTCCCTGTTGTCTCATTTCTTTGCAGTAAGAGCATTTCAGATCAAGTGCCTGTTTTTGACCGCACCGCAGCTCCACGGGCTGAGGTGAGTACTCTGCACAACCTGTCATAGGACAGGAGATTAAACTCTGTTTTACTTTGGTACCTCATCCATCAGGTTGCCATTTTCAATTAGAGCTTGGGGGAAGAAAGTGAAATAAACAGAGAAGACCAATTGATTTTAACAACAGGGAATGAAACAAAGGATGGAAAGAGGTGTTCTGTTTCTCATCACTTGAGTAATAAGAAGGTCCATGGTGAAATTAGAATGACAGGAGTTTCAAAACTGAGACATGTACAGCTTACTGCCAAATGGTCCACATTTGCATAGTGCTATCCATAAATTAAATCTAAAACAGGCATAAGCTTCAGCTTCAGTGACTTCAGCATATGTTTAAAAGCTTTGCAGGTGAGGCATCTTAGTATTTTCGGTAATACAAATGCCCATACACTTGTCTTTTGTGGTATATTAGGTATATTTTTCTCAGTATTAAGCACGAGACTGCTTTGTAACAAGTGTTTGAGCAGGGTCTTGCTTCCTGAAACATTTGACTTTGCCATATAAGATTAAAATCCCCGTGCATCTGCTTTGAGGTTTGTTGCTTTTGTTCTTTACACGGAGAATGACAGGTCTGGGAACAGTCATATCTCTGGGGTTTTATCTATTAATTTATTAGTATTGAATATACCTACCAGAAGTTTTCAATAGGTGAAAAAAGGCTTTTGAAAGGGCTAATAAGTAGACATGTGAACAACTAGCACAACAGTAGCATTGTTTGTTTTGTTTGTTTTTTATTAGAGAACTGTTGGCATTAACAAGACCAGAAGAACAATTGCAACACAGGATAAAGAGCACCTTTTCATTTTTGGTCCTCTAAGACCATTTAAATGGCTACCATGTTCTTTAAGGACAATGGGGGGAGATGTGTATTTTTGATAACTCAGCCACTTTAACTATCCAACCTTTTGTTAGGGTGATAAACATGTATTTGCCTCCTTTTTTTTTTTTTTTTTTTTTTCCCCTGAAGAGGGCATTTAAGTTCCATTTCAACAACACGTCCATTTCCCAGGCTTTCCCACATCTCCCAGTTCAGCATCCAGACCTGAAAGCTAGATGTAAAAGAAACAGTTAGTTACCCTTAAATTAAGACACAACATTTCTGCAATTTTTAATGCTCTTTGCAATATTTTGCAGCAATCTAAAAGCTGTAAGGGTGCAAAGAGAAATAATATATTTTTTCAGTTCTCAGGATTTCAAGATGTCAGTTGGCTTCAGCTCTGTTGTCTTACTTGCTCTTAAGTGCTTTCAACTTATGCATATTGATTTCTCTGGTGCTCAGTGTTCTGCCACTTTAAGAATCCTTGTGTGTAGCCCTCTCAGGGCCATGTTTATCCTAGTGCTTTCACTGCTTCTTCAAAGCAGTTTTGTGTGTGCTGAGTAGGAGAAGAGATTGTGAGAACTGCAGACTACAGTCAAATATATGTGACCTTATCCCAGAAATACATATGTGATGACAAAGTGCACACTGTCTTGCTGCTTTATGCTTTCTCCTCAAGAACACAACAGAAAGATTTGCTTTTGTAATTCTGTGCATTAATAATTTCAAGGTTATTGCTTTCCACAGGCACTGTTTGATTTTCCTGGAACCAATAAACTGGAACTCAAGTTCAAGAAGGGAGATTTGATCTATCTACTCAGCAAAGTAAACAAAGACTGGTTGGAGGTAAGACTGCAATAGCAGTGCTGAATTATTAGAATATCTTGAAATATATGAGTAGAAAGAACTCTCCTGATCCTTGTGACCTGCCTCTTCCTTTCAAGGAGAAACTGTATCATAATCAGGTCTTACTGTCAAGACTAAATCCTTGATTCCAAGTTAGTAATTGTTTGGTTCCTTGATGGTTTTTAGCTTACAAATTTTCTGCCCTCCAGACTTCAGTTTTTATTTGCATTTGCTTCTGCTGGAATGTTTTTAAATTCTTTGGAAGTGATTAGAACATATAAAGGCCACAGAAAGGAGATGGAAACTCCATTTCAGCGATTAATTGGTTTCTTGCCTCAGGGTGAGTTGATGTATGCTTCATGCTTCATACCACAACACACGTCAGCCTGATTAGAGAGAACTTGGGCAATGTAGCAGTGTTCTGAAAAAAGGATGAGGGGAACATACTGTGTGTTTGCTGATATGATATCTCTGCTTGCTCAAACACCACAGCCTTCCTTGCTAACCATCTGACTTGCATTTTTTACACGCTGTTTCACTCCCCTGCCTGGTATTTGACTATGTAATTGTATAACCTTTTTGTAGGGATGCCATCAGGTCACTTCCATAGAATTTATTTTCTTGATTATAGTGGAAAATTCTTACTGTTGTTTCTATGTAAATTAATTGAATTCCAGAACCCATTGCATGTGGTCAAAATGGCATGGTTTTCTTGTTTCTAACATTTTCTATCATTCCAGGGAACTGCTGATGGCGCCACTGGGATTTTCCCATGTGCTTTTGTGAAGATCATAAAAGATTTACCACAGCAGGAAGACACAGTTAATAAAGTTCGCTGTTATTACTATGATGAGACTGTGAGCACCATCAGGTAGTAACAAAATAGTCTTCAAGTTTGCTGATGAAGAAGCACCAACAATTCTCTTGTCATGATATGTAATGATTAGATGTGTTCTAAACACAGGGACATCTCAGTGGAAGAGGATCTTAGCAGCATTCCATCATTCAGAGATCTAATGGCATTGATGAGGTACCATGCAAGCACTTGTCTGTATATTTGATACTTAAACATTTGTCAAGTTCATTCTGGTTTGAGATTTTCCACATTCTACTTGGTCATCACCATGTTTTGTGTATGAAATACTTTTCAAGTGTCTTGAAACAGTTACACTTTGACTTGGTCCAGGGCCATCTGTGCAGACACTAGCCCTTCTTGGGATTGTAAGGAATGACACACACTTCTGACTCAGTTGTGATGGGTAGAAATTTCCATTTCTTGTACTATGATAAGAGCCATACCTCCACAAAAACATCTTTTGTCTAGTACATTTCTTCGGGATGTAGGACATGGCCTTCTAACACTTGTTAAACTAGTGTTAAACTAGATTAATCTGGTGTTGAACATCAGCCATTTAGAACATTAAATATTAGTAAATATTGGTTATAGAACACCTGTTCTAATATTCTTACACTCCTCAGAAAGAGCAAAAATAAGTAGGCAAAAGTTGGTGGTAACCACGATCAGCTGTTTTTCATGGTAATTCTATTAAACACACAGATTAATTGTGCCATTTATGTGGTGTTACTGAAAATGGTTCTTGGTTCTGATAGATTTCTTAGCTTAAACACAACACAGCATGCATGTGGCTATGTGATTTCTAGTACTAACTGTATCAAGAAAGCTAAGACACCCAAGGCTTTGTGTGGCTTTTATAAAAATTAATTAGATTGTCAGTATATTGTTCATCATGTAGCACCTCCCAGGCATTCCTTGACTTCTGGGGATCAATCTATTTCTTTTCTGCCAGGCAGGAGTTTAACCAAGAAGACATTGTTTTGAATTACCGGGACGCTGACGGTGATCTGATCCGCTTGCTCTCCGATCAGGATGTTGAACTCATGGTGTCTCAGAGCAGAAAAAGTCCCTCTGAGAAGCACTTTTTCCCTTGGAAGTTGCACATCACTCACAAAGATGACTTGGGTGTCTACAACACTAGTCCAGGAACAGGTGCTCCTCAAACAGTAGGAGCAATGTAAGTGCTATATAGACAACCCTCTCTGCAGGCAGTTTCCTTCAACATGTCTTTGAAGTGTCCTTGAAATGACTAATTTTTAGTGATATAGTAACTTTCAGTGTAAAATCTGTACTTAGTTAACTTCTTCAGCTTTTTAGCACACATCTGCAATACAGACATCCACAAAGAGACGAGAGAAGGTGAGGAAAAGAGAAATAAAATAATGAGCCATGTTTACAAAGCAAGTCGGTGTCAGCCTGCAACAGAGGTCTCCTGAGCCCCTTGACCTGTTCTAGTTTCTGTTCTGTTCTGTTCTGTTCTCACTCCCGAGGCTAGTTATTTGTCCAGAATGTCTTCATAAGCTTTTGTTTTTTCTCTAGACTCCCATAAATTTCTCTTCATTTGCTGATCTGAAGGTTTGTGGGCCATTGTGTAATTATTTCTCTCATGTTGGAGTCTGACTGGGTGTTCAGAGTTTGTCCTAGGAGCATCAAGAAAACTTTTTTGGATTGCAGTGAAGAAATTGCAGCCCATCTTAGCTTTCTTCTTTTCCACTGACTAGTATATTGAATTCTGTGAATCAAACCTAGTACACCTGTGGTGTTCCTTATAGACCTTTATATAATTGTACAATCTACTTATTTTCATGTTCTGGGAAAATGTGTAGGATATCTACTCAAACAGCAGTTTCTTCTCTGTCTTCTGCTTTCTGACATTGCATTCAAAGTAGAACTAACAAGAAATTACTGTATCAGATTCTTCAACAAATAAAGTTAAACATTAGTCCATCAATGTTTATTTAAAAGTGGGGTTTTTTTTGGGGGGTGCTTCTTGACATTATTTTATTAAATGTTACAAAATGTGACTTCCTGCTTCAGAGGCATTGTAGCAATGTAGTTTAGAAAGGAGATGAAGTAACAGCAATGATTGTGTCAGTGATATTACATGTTGTGATATGTAAGAAAATGCATTGTAAGTTTGAAACCTAATGGCAGATATGGACTGCAAAGCTTCTGGTGTGCAGGATTCTTTGTTACTCGTTCCTGGAGTTCAACAGAGCAAGTGGCACTCAGAGATTGTCACTGACAGCTGGATCCTGTGATGTAACCAGCAGCTCAGCACATCTCTCTGAAAATGGAGGAACATTTTAAATGAGAAGGGAAAGAGAGGGGAAATGTCTACTAGGAAACAACTGTCCTCTTTTATAAGGGTGCTGGAAGAACATAAACACACTGGCCTTTGAAAATCAGGGCAGGATGGTCCCCCTCTACCTTTAAACTGCAATGCAAAATAAATTCTTCCCATCCAGCCAAGTTACACATTCCTCTAACTGTCTGCAGGTTTTATATGGACACCTTCTCACACACAGTTACCCCAGATATTCTCCATATTCCTTGTCTTGCTTTGCCTGTTTCCCTTATTCACATGATAGGGTTTTTTATGTATTTTTTTTGTTTGTTTGTTTGTTTGTTTGTTTGTTTTTGGGGTTTTTTTCCTTTTTTTTTTTTTCTTTTTTGCTTGTTTATTGATGCAGTTCTGATGAGAGAATAACTGTGCTACCTGTGGTTTTGGTCAGTACTATGGGGATTTAGAGGACGAGTAGCAGTGCAGGACAGACAGATTCTGCCAGTTATATTCTGTATCTGGGGACTTATATGAGCCCCCCTTAGTTTATCCCTGAGAACACAAACCTGAGCATGTCTCTCCCTTATGGCTGCCTAACTTTCCTAAGGTTTGTTTTTGAAGGCTACTGGGCTAAATTTTATGGTTGGATTAAAAGACCAGGTTACCTTGGATGTAGCCAAGATCCACTACTTCAGATCAACTACTCTCACCAGTTTTCTTTTGTTTCTTTTATGTACTTATAATTTATTATTAATTGTTGTTGACATGGGTAAAACTTAGAAATATTACTAAAAATAAAGAGTTACAGAAATAAAGGTAGGTCACTCTCCCCCAGTACAGAGTACAAACAAAAGTCCAGAGGGATCCCTGCCTGAAGATTGTCTGGTCTAGAGCAAAGCAAGAAAGTGCATTGGAGTGAAAAACAGAAAATTTTTTCTTCATCTTTCTTACTTCTGCTGCAGTCAGTCCTGTATCTTTCTTAAAATACATAAGTCTCATGATCTGGTAATTGCTAACACACAGATTGGCAATGACAAACTTCCTTTCCCTCCCTTCCCAGTTAACCTAACAGTCCCATCTAAGTGCGTGCTTTGGGGGCTAAAATAGGAAGTACAGACTTCCTATTTTGTGCAATTGCACAGACTTTCCTTGAAAGGGGGGTGTCAGCTTCTCTGAAAGTGGCATTTGAGGTTCACAAAAGATGTAGTAGTTATTTTGAAGACTTACTTGCTAGGAAAATCGTGTGGTTGGTTTATACTTCTGTCTCCAGTTCTAGGCAAGTGTGGGTTTGCTGATATCTGCATCAGAGGATTGTGGTGCTGGGGGGTGGTGCTGGACAGGGAGAGTCACCCATCAGGTTGAATCATCTGCCTCACAGACACCCCTGGATTCAGGTAAGGGAATGGCTTCCTTTCTGGGGGAAGCATAATGGCAGAGTCTGCTCTCATACAAGGACTTGTGAGTTACTGAGGGGTTCCTTAGCTGGAATGATTATTCAAGGGCTCGGCCAGCTGTTTTCCGTGCAAGGAACTGGCTTTTGGGAATCTGAAAGTCAATAAGAATTTAAAAGGGGTTTTTCCATGCTCCCCTAAAGTAGAAAAAGTCTCAGAACTGCAGCATACTTAAGTAGGTGTGTGTATTATGATTTTGAGAGAGTGATGAGAGATGCCCAGAAGGACTTAAATTCCAGTATTGAACAGTGTGCTCCATGGTCCTGGAACTGCTCAATCTGCTTTCACTTTCTACAATCAGCAGGAAAAAAAATTCCTTTGGTAGTTCGTCTACAATTTGCAACTTATTTGGGGGGCACTGAGAAAAGTTGAAGGAAATTATCAAAGTGAATGAATATGGAAATCCAACCACTATAGCTCCTAGGAACTGTGAGATCATATTTTTAAGGAAATTAACCACTGTTGTGGTTCAGTCGGAAGGCTTTAAGCATAAAGAGCAGAAGAATGAAATTAATTTTAAGGATGAGTTCTCATCACAAATTAGGATTTTTTTTTTTGTTGGTTCTCAGTTGACTGAATCCCTGCACTTCCTTGGAAGGGATTTACTTCATTCTTTGCTTGCATTGCAACAACACACAACAAGAAGACATGAATTTTGTCCTACAAGAAATGCTTGGTATAAGTTCTTCCTGAATGTCACTTCAACGTGATCTTAAAGAAGTTCCCTTATTCAGTTTTACTTCTCTTTATGTGAAACGGAAACAAACAGCTCCACAGTAAGCAGGGGAAGAGTGGGCAATGAAAACTCTGAAATTCTGAGTTAGGATCAATCCTGTGCACCAAGGACATTATGGACATGAAAGAGATTTTCATCCTGCTGCTGTATCTGTATTTGGTCTTCCATGTTCAAGCTATTCAAGGTGAGATTCAAATTTATATTCTCTTTTGTCCTTCCATTATTGCCTTTCTATTTAAATCTGTCTCCTTCTTTCAGCTAATGTTCTTCCTCCTTTTCTGCTTGCTTTTCTGCTTTCTTCTCCTGTTTTCTAAGCTGTAAGACAGCAGTTATCCTGATCAAAAGCAGCATGTAGCAGGTGCATGTGCAGCCAAATCAGTTGTATGTTGGTGGTATGGACAGTTGAAATACTGTATAAATGGATGAGATGAACAATCTGATTGAATAATGAGTGAATGAAAGGAGGGATAGACCCTGATAATTAGTGAAAACATAGGAAAATGAAGGGCTACAGAATTCAGATAGTAGTGCACAGGAGTAGAGACATGTGGCCAGACACAAGACAGTGTGGTGGAGGCTACCAAGAGCAAAATCCAGATGACCTGATTTTCTTTTTGTGGAATAGCTGACAGATAAAGAGACCATCTGCCTTATCCATTGCTTGTGTTTCCTTTCTTACACAATGAGAACTTATTTCTCCTTTTCCCTTCCCTTCCCTTTTCCTTCCCTTCCCTTTTCCTACTTCCTCCCACACTCTGTCCTCCCCTGCCCCCGATTTGATTAGCAGAGCTGGGAATGGGAAGTACACCACACCTGCCACAAGACTAGGCCTATAGCCATCCGAAAGACAGCAGAAAAAGAGAGATATCAGGAGTTTTGCCCCGTGGACATCTACCTTTCCAACGCAGATGCCTCATGTCTGCAGTAGCTGGAGGAGTTGTGCTGCCTGACCCAGCATCATTTACAGGATATCTTCCTTTGAGTTCTCTGAGGGAAAATGTGTTACTGTGTAGGTCAGACTGTGTTCTTGGCATTCTGAGCCTTAGCCCCACATCCACACTTCCACATCCTTTTCTGTGTGGGATGCTCCATTTTCTCGTTACACAAGGAAGGCAGTAAATCTTACTTTGTACTGGTTTTCAGTAGAAGATCAAAGTAAGGTCCCTCTTATGCCTCCTAAGACAGCAACATTCTGTTCTGATGGGTTTTTCCCTGTAAAAAGCCCCTCAAATAAGCTGATTATAGCTCTCATCAAGAAATATTATTTGAGAGAGCACACTCATGTATGCACCTTTGTCACCTGAAGGTACAATATCCCAATAGTGCAGTGTGGCTATTACCTCCAGAGAAAATAAGCAGGGATAACAAATGAGCTTGCTTCATAGTGCATGTGCCAGAGGCAGTCTGTATTTTTCAACTTCACAGTTGTGAACTTAAAAAAAAAAATATCCTTGATGAGAGGTCTGGCCATCTCTGGATCATAAATCTAGTTCCAACAAATTAGTTTGGACATTCTTCTGAGTCATAGCAAGGCTATTCCCAGAGCATGTCACTTTTAAATAGACCTTTCTAGCATTACAGATTTTACTGGGAAGTTAGTAGCAAAAAAGTTCACACAGCAACACATAAGTAGGAAATGATCACCATATGTTTGCTGACCATGGTATCTACTAATCCCTGGATATACTCAGTATTTGAAAAGTGAAAGTTGAAAAGCCTTTTCTAGAATTGTGTGCTTGCAGGCACAAAGATTTCACTTAGCTGTTAGTTGTAGCTTGGTTTGGACACCACTTTGCTGGTGGAGATGTCAGAATGGTCACAGCTCTGCACATATATTCGTGGAGTCATGCCCCATCCCTGGAGATGTTCAAGGCCAGATTGAATGGGGCTCTGAGCCAAGTGGTGCAGTGGAAGGTGTCCCTGCCCACGGTGTCCCTTAAAGATTATGTTGGAACGACATAATCTTTAAGTTGCCTTCCAACCCAAACATTTCTATGAGTCTGTGATTATCTGGTGTCAAGAGAAGAGTACTGGTATCAGTGCCTTACCCATTCTGTACCTCCTGCTATCTCTCACCGTTTATATTTTTTAATCACTGCATCTTTTTTTGCCTGAATTCCTTTTCCAGAGAGTATCCCAATGAAAAGCTTGAAGTGCTACAATGACTATAGCTCACAGGTGACTTGCACATGGATGGAGCTTTCAGAGGCTCGTGACCTCGTTGGCATGATTCTTTATCAAAGGGATAATGGTAGAATGTAAGTACCTGAAATGTGCTGAGCTAGATAAAAGTCCAAAGGGAAATTGGTCATAACTGGGGACATGCAGTCAAGTTTTTTAGAAAGCACATCCACCTCTCTTTTTGA